GGGAGCGATAACTCGTCTGCGAGCCGTGAGCTCACCAAGCCTTGACCAAGTTCAGAGTCGCAATCGCCCTCTGCCGGAGGAGAGGCGCCAGTGACACTACCCGACTGCAGTATACTCCTGCTCTCCGGCTCAGGGCTCTCATTCGCTAGAAGATGGCGGACTGCACTTCACTGTTGGATGAGGAGCTCTCTTCTTTCGTCTTCAATTACCTGACAGAAAACACCGGGAGCCAGGTAGGAGCAGCCCGGGTTTCATACCGGCAGGATCGCGCGTCCGGGGCATAGTCGGTGGTCCTGTGCTTTATTCTCGGAAACGCCAACGTTGCAAGCCGGCAAGCCTGTGACAGCCGGTATTGCACATGAAACTGCAGCCGGCGTCTTGTGCGCCTCTTGACTGTAGTGTGGGCTTCACGTGGAGACTGGGGAACTGCAGCCTGGCAGTTTTAGCACGGTCGCAGGGCGTGCTTTTCGAAAATGGTTTTAAGAATACAAATCGGAGATAACAGGTGTGTGCGTGGGTGTGTGACATTACCTGTGCGGTGCTTGAATGCTGCGTTTTCTGGAAACAACACAAGAACGCTTCGCAGCATATGCAGTGTGTAGAATACGCAGCTACTATAGTTTCAACCCGTTCAGTTTTTTTTTCCATTGACTGTATAGACACGTGGGTGTCCTCTTTTTATCAGAACTTGCCGTAACGTTTTCCTTATCACAATTTATTTATTTTTAGGAAAAAAAAAACTACATTTATATCTGCGGCAGTGTGTAATGATTGAAGAATATAGAGAGAGAGATTTTGAAACTGAAAATGCATTTAAACTGATTCCGGTACGTCTCGGTCTGCAAAAAAAAAATAAAAGAAACCACAAGGAAGTTGTTTTAAATTCACCCTTTACATACACTTCTAGCGCTGTTTGTGCCTTCGCCTTGCCGAGTGGAGCTCGTATGCGCGTAAATGAGGGATTTTGCGGCTGGACTTGAGCTCCAGGCAGGCTGGATCGCGGCACGCCAGCGGGATGTTTCTTTAAGACGAAGTTGTAACAGCGGAGTTGCGCTCTCAGATCGCAGGCGACACGCTTACTGGGTCACCGAGATCCAAAGGTCTTAGACGGATGACGAAATGTTTAATTGTAACGTGAGGTGGTTTGATTTTTAATCTCCTCATCCCCCCCCCCACCCCCGCTCAAAAATAACAAGTTGATTTTTTTCTGTCCCTTTTGTAATAGCGTTTGCGTAACCATACCTGCGACCAGCGTTACAAAACCGGGGGTAGACGGAGGGGGGGGGGGGACTTATATGTAACACTTTTTGTTTGCATACATAATCTGGCGAGAGGGCATGTGTCAGACTTTTGTCATCACTGATCAGGCAGTAGACTTTGTCGCGCAGGTATTCCAATAGCTTACCTGTTTGCGCATAATTTATTTGCATTGCGAAGCATCGACGTTTACCATGCTGAAATATTACATGTTAACTTAAAATCCGCGTTATCGTCGCAAAATCTCACTTTGTTGTAAACTAGAAACGAGCAGCGCTATCTCCAAGACACGGATGTAACTGTGGAACAGGAACAAAATACGTCTTAATGAGTCCTTTAGGAGTACCGGTAGCACGTGTGCTCTTTAGTAAATGAATGACCCGGTTTTTTTTTTCCCCCGAAACGGATTTCACCTTTGAAGAGTGAAGAATTTTTGCATTTGCTTTGCGTTTATTTGGCGTAGTTCGGGCTCGGGTGGACCGAGGGAGCTCGGGCTGTGTTGGAGCTATTCCGGATTCAAGTCACATGCTTTGATGAATGAAGTCTGCGTGGCGAGGTGTCGGCCGGCATTTATCAACCGTGTGAACCGTGTGACCCTTACCCACACTGCAAACCCCAGTAAATGGGGGGTAATTCATGCATCGGTATTCTTCCTCTGTTATTATGATCTTAATGAGTGTTGTGTTGTTGCAGATCCATGTGTGACAAGTACTCGTGTTAAACCTGAACGTCTCCCCCCTCCTCCTCCTCCTCCCGATTTTAGAGCGCAGTGCTTGAGTGTTCCTCCTGCTTCACTGCGGTCCAGATTTACAAGTCCCAAACATGTGGAAAACTGCGCCCAGTCGAGCGTGTGAGCTCTGGGCAGGTGAACCGCACAGCGGCAGGGAAGAAAGCTGCAGCGCTTTCGCCGTGGTCAAGTTCAGCGGCGGACAACGTCTTGCCAAGCTGCGCTCCACACTCGTGACCGGGCTAACAGACAGGCGCTGCTGCAGTCATGTGCTCTGCTGTAGTAAAGGAAGGAGGCGGCTCCGGTGACGCGCTCTGACGACATCCCCGGGCACACTCCGGGGTCTGGGAGAAGCGCGCTCCCGCGGGCCTGGCTGCTCTCATTGCTGCGCACCGAAGAGGCTCCCTCCCCCAGTCTGGTCCGGCCCGGGGAGGGTTCAAGGCATCAGTCTCGTCAGAGGAGATGTGCTGATCTCGAAAGCTCAGCCCCTGAGGCACTCGCTTACATAAGGCACTACACATCCCCACCGCTGAAATGTTAGCGGAGATATTTTTATTTAAAGGGCTTCATGTTTATGCGAATGGATGACATTTTTCTGAGGCGTTCCGGGGCAGATGAGTGGTCCTCACCAGTTGTAGTGGTAACCGGCAGTTGCCTTACCTGCGCAAAATATGAGGATAGGGTGAGACACAGCCTGCAACTTAGCTGCAGTCCCTACAGCTCAGTTCGGGTTGTCTTTGTCCTCAGTCCTAGAGGAACAGACGCTTTCTGGAGTGTGCTTTTTTTTATGGGCTGCACAGTGACCGAGGGGAAGTGGATAGAAGACAGGAGAGCGCCAGTTTTCCAGACGCACCGGCCGAAATCCTATCGGTTTCAAGAGGGGAAGTCTAAGGTTTCCATGTTTAGCAACGGCCTTTGGAAACAATGTAGTAGATTTAAAATAGCCTCCCAAGGCCGTGCGCGTCGGTGGAAGGCGAGTCGCTCTTGGCGCTGCGGTGCCGCGGGTCTGGTTTCTGTGATGTGCTCCGAGCCTGCTTATGTATTATTCAGTCTGCTCCCAACACTGGCTCCAGTGACACAGCAGCGTGGGCACAGTCTGCTATGATGTCTTCTTTCAGCATTGATCCAGATAAGTGTTGTTAATAAATCAGACTCTCACACACACACACAGCTCTCCCCGGGTTTGCTGCCTATCCGTATAATGTTCAGTCCAGCTATGTGTGACATACCTTTTCAGTTCACTGGAGGCACATCGGAGGATTACAGATTCACCTCCCCCCCCCCCGTCAGTGGGATGGCCAGGATAGAGAGTGGTGGCTGGTGGGATTTTTGGACCGATCAGTGAAAAATACAAATAAAACTTGTAATTATCCCATCAGTGCCCTGGTAACTTAATCATGTTACAATAACACGCAGTAGTAGCAGTCATTTATTTAAGAAGTATTCTTTGGGAGACGTTTGTGACTCAGGGCTCGTAGTGTCAAGAGTCTGGAGCTGCAGCGCCTACCGACACAGATACCTGCGATGAAGGTTTCGGTTGGAATAACACAGACTGCCTCCTTTTTTTCCGAGTAGCATTCAATCATAGGCGAGCGCTGTAAAATGAAGTTTTATTCTGTCAGTGAGCCTGGAACCAGGGCCAGTGCAGATGATGTTTAAGTTGAATTAGAGGTTGGAAACCCAATGTGTAAACTCACTGATAACTGATACTGCATGTTGGGTGAGGAAGAGAGCCCTGTGTTTTTGACATTGAATTTGTTGGGAGTAAGAAGAAATCATAGCCATTCTATAAAAGTATATTTGTGAAGCTGGCTTTATTTCTTCTTTGTTGTGTCTCTCTTGCGTTAGCACGATGTGTCAACTTGAAAGGAATCTTAATTCGACCAGAATGCGATAAATTCAGATTTACATAAATCATGTCGTGTCTAACATCAAAAACAATGCACGTCTAAGCTGTCGGACACACAAGTAGACAAAGAACAAAAAAGTTATTTTTAACATGAATAGTTGGAATATTTTGCTTCTAGTTTTGAGAAGTCATTCCCACCTGACACCTGTGACCAGATGTCTGGCTGTTTGTTTCTTAGGCAGAATGAAATGAGATGGATGATTAAAGAGATCTGTGGTTAATTAATTAGGGAGAAGTTATGATGATTAAACCATAAACTGATCGTCCGCTCCTTTGCACAATCTTCAGTAGGGCTGTCATCTCACTCACAGGCTGGTCTCGAGGGAAAGCCGTGCATGTGGATGAGCTGTCAGGATTCTCCATTTTGATTGCCCCCTGAACATTAAGTCACGTATAGTACAAGAAACTAGGCATCAATAAATAATCACGTGCAATCCGTCATGTGTGGGGAGGCAAATAATAGAAAATGTATTTAAGGTCAGCCCACATCTGGGATCTTTGAGCTACGGCGCGTTAAATGAAGAATGGTTCATCTTAAAGCAGCTGAGCGCTGAAATGTGATTTATTGGTGTCTCTCAAGTGTTCAAGACAGCAGCGGTCACCTTCCAGAGCATGTGTGCGCTGTGCATGGCCGCGCTGACCTTGGCCGCCCCACCCCTCTCTGAGGGGGCGATGATGTTAAGGTGTTCAGAGCAGTGAACCCGAGCACGTCAGCGAGAGAGAGCCGCGTGTGTCAGAAAGACAGACGGCGGTACCAGTCACGCTGCAGTGCTGGGGAGCTCAGTGGCATGAAAGGAGTGCTGCAGCCATTCGGAAGTGAAGGAGTGACGTGTGACTCAGTGACAGCGCCAATCAGTTACCTCCTGGCAAAACCTTTTACCATAATCCGTGCCCCACCTAGCCTCCGGTTTCCGCGGAATGCTAAAAGGTGGTGACAGAGGGTGGGCTTTAGTCCGGGGGGGGGGGGGGTCATTTTCTCAAGCTTCCTCGAGCCTGAGCACCGCCTGTCCTCTGTCAGCTAGCAGCTCCCAGAGTGCACGAGGCGTCGGCACAGCACGTGCTGTCCAGGCGTGCTCCCGAGCTGCTCCTTGCCACTCTCCGGGCGGCTGGGGTGCTGCCGCTCAGTACCTTGCTGGAAATAGCTTTGTCAGCTGCCTGAACGGAACTAAACGCACCAGCCCGTGCAGGGAGACGCTCGGCTTCCTCCCGCCGGACCGGCCCTCCCCCAAGGTGACTCTTGAAATAGCACCGTCGTGCTCTAGATTCCCAGCGAGGGCGCTGAGTAGGGATGAATTAACATACACAGACTTTGCTCTTCCCCGTAGGCAGCGTGGAGGAGG